AACTTTTGTAATTCTAGTTCTAGATAGACTATCCTCGCTAAATATTTTGCCCGTACGGTGTACAGTAGGCTGAACTCTCAATCTGGTGACACAACTTTTTGAGCTTGACTGGAGCAGTGCCACTTTCTAGTGTCCCTCTTCAAGTCTTCCAATGACAACCCCATTCACTCCAGTGTCGAAAGAAGAAGACTCGCGTTCGATTCTTGGAGGGAGATTTATTTTCCCATCATGTTTGTCTATCCATCTGTCTGTTAGGACCTTGTATCCCTCTCAGCCCAGGTTGGCCCTAACAGGCAAGGTCAAAACAGTCCACCTTCTCAATAATCGAGACTGTGTCGATGGGCTTGTAAAATATCTACAGTTACAATAACAGTAATTACGATCATAACTCTACTCACCTTTTCTGTTCCCAATGTTCTCTAGACAGAAACAGGTAAGTGTCTTGTGTCTAAATCCAGGGAAGGTTTCGCTGCGAGTGTCGGTTGAGACAAAACAGAAAAAGAATCCTCCACATATGAAGATTGATCGAGAATCGCACAGGTTGACTGCCTCAGTTTGATATAATGTCGATGGTTCAAACATACGAGTGTTCACGTAGTTTGCACTTCGCTCATAGGCTACACATATAGCATCAGGGTTTCGAAACACTGATTTCTATCAGAACAATGATTTTTATAAATACTTTTAAAGTAGTTATTGTCCGTGCTCGAGAATCAAAATAAGCAGTCCACAGCATGATATTCCTCACAGCTGCTGGTGATTTAGTTATTGAACACACGATATAAGCCACTATTCACTATGCAGAAATGTAGTAATGTAGTGCCCTGTAATGCTGTGTCAACAGTTCACCGCAAATATGTCTATATCTCACTAGTGATAGCTACAGATACAAACACCTTTAAATTCAGAACCAGATCTTCGCTCAGTCTGTTGTGTGCTTGTGTGATTGAAATACACCGGTAGAACAGTTATGAATCCTGAATCAAGCTTTATAGTCCAGATTACATACCTCGCTGAGCTGCGTGTTGTAGATCTAGATTATACATAGGCATACGTCACCAAAATAATGGTATAAATCTTGATTAAACATACCACATTGGGTGTCATAGAGGCTTACATACCCCATTGAGTGTTATAGACCTAGATTATACAACAATAGATGCCACACTGTTACGCATCTATACTATATAGATCTACATACGCCACACGGGGCGTTAAAGACCTAGGCTATACATATACGCGCTAAAAAGGCATCCAGCAAGCTCAGAGTCAGCTCTCAATGCACGTGATCCTGGTGAAAGTATGAATAATATTATGACGAGGCTATCGGATGGCCCGGTGTGGTGACTGTCGGCCGGTAGAGAGATGGGCGAGGTCATTGTGATTTTATTTAACAATCTGGGTCTGGTAGGAGTGGTGGGAGAGGGTAGGGAGGAGGGGCGGGGATTTGGGATAGGGGACAGGGGATAGGAGGAGAGGGTGCAGGGGGCACGTCATTAAGACACACACACACACACACACACACACACACACACACACAC